CCGGGCGGCCCCCGTCCCCCGTGGAGCGCGCTCCGGACCCGGCCGGCCGCTCGCGACCTGCGCGCCTGGACCCCGCGCCTGCATTTTCCCCTTGTCTTCCCCCCGCCGGCCCGATCCCCAGACCCCGACCCCGTTCCGGGAGGGCCTCGTGCTGGATCTGCAGACCCGAGCCCCAGCTTGCCGCCCCCGAGTGCTGGCACCTAAGCCCTGGCCTCCATCCTTTTACCCCAGGATCGAGGGGGTGAGGGAGGGGTCTCCCAGGGGTCGCTGCTGCGCCCTGCGTGGAAGATCTGTCGAAAAGCAGGGGCCGGACGGCCCGGGCCTTTTAGGTGCTTCTCCTGTGAACGGCCTTAGCAACAGGGAAACTGAGGCATGCACCTCCCGGCCCAGCCTTGCTTGAGGTGTAAGGGGCCTCGCTAGCTTCAGGCTTTGAGTCTTAGGGCGGTGCTATTTTGGACTCTGCCAGGGAGCAGGCTAGTATTCGGGTGGAGATACCTGCTGTTGGGGCGCCTGGGTTAGGAAACCAAAAGGAGGAGGAGGAGCGGTTGAGGCGCCACCGGAAGGCAGGCAGGTCGAAGGAGAGCAGGTAGAACACCAGGCCGGGGACCACCAGGGCCGCGATCCTCTCCGGGGTCTGCTCTCCAGGGATGAATGGAGGCTGCTGGCCCGGGATCCCAGAGGAAGCCCCGCGCCTTTCTGTTCCGCCTAAGTGGGTGAAAGTTCAGCTCTCCCGTGTTCGTGGGAACTCTCCATGCCCATGTCTGAAACCGGGCAGACATCCCACTTCCAGACCTTCCCCACCAGCAGGCTGCATGCGCGGCGGCGAGGAATTTGGAAGAAATGCATGAAATCTCCCAAGGAGATTATTGTTGAGTTTTTAGATACTGCCTTTTATTTCAAAGTGCCTATTTTTTTTTTTTTTTTTCTTTTCACTCCTTTTTCCTTAACGGCCCACTCACCCATTGTGTGTATCTCATTCCGCCTCCGGTCCCAAAAGGTAAAGGAGACAACAGAAACGTAGGAAAAGTGCGGTGGTCGGTGCCATGGGAGGTAGAGGGGGTCGATGCCATGGGGGGAGCGGGTCAGCCTGCAGACTTGGATTGACCTCCAGATATCGCCCATCATTTGAAGTGTTGGATGCCTGGGACTAGTCCTCAAGAAGGAAGTCCAGAGCAATACTTTTAAGGGAACCATGGCGTTCTGGCTTTAGAAGCAGATGTCAGGAGTGAGACTGGAGGGGTGCAAACGTAGAGTGGAACATTCGGCCAGGCATGATCAGTGAGGTTGTGCGCATGTGGTTTGTTTGATTTGGTTTTACTTGTCTGCCTGCCTGTTCGCTTCCTGTTTTTAGAGTACAGAGGCCGTCTTTGGTGAAATTACCCCTTCCCTTTGCATTTCTCTTCCACCCCTTTGAATTCTTGTATGAAAGGAAGAAAGCTTGTTTTACTGTTTTTGCACAAACATTCAAACCGTGTTAAAAGAAAGAGGAAAAAAATTTACCATCTCAGCTGACTGCGCTGTCTTCTCTTTGCTGGAGAGTCATCTCCCTGGTCCTTATTAGCACCGCTGTAATGTGATTTGGAACTCTGCTTTATCCATTAACAAATTTTAAAATACAGACATTTTCTTTTGGTGTAGCAAAGACTGATTTTCTCAGTGGTTGTACATTACTGGACTCCACGGATATGTATCAGTTTTTATTGATGACATCTAGATCTATCGTGATTTTTCTTTCAAGTTTTACATGATCCCTTATTTTCCTGTTGCTCTAATATAGGTTAGATTGAAAGCTATTTCTAAGCATCAATTTGAACTTGAAAGTAAAGCCTGCAAATAAATGGTAATATTACAAGACAGCCCTGATTTTTGTGGTTCACTTGTTAAAATATTGAAAATACTCTGCTATACCTTGTCAAGCTGTGTTCATTACACAGCTTTCTGAGCGTGCACCATAGTTACAGGTAGGCACGTTGCACAGGAGCTATTGGAAGAGACACACAGCCTTTGAGCCAGTGTGTTCTTTCCCCGGATACATATATCAGCACTCCTTGAGGAGCATTTGATTGCAGGAAAAACATTTTATTAGGCCATGCCTTGTAGCGGTGCCCAAGTAACAGGAACACCTTGCTGGTGTGTTCATAATGGAAACTTGGTGGTTACTGCGGCTTCGGATCAGCATCCAGGGTTCTGCCCTTTTTATGGAGGAAAGCTGTAAAGAAACAACCTGCTCCCCTAAGTGGAGGGTTTTATGTAATCATGGCTTCTCAAGAAGCTAAAGATGTGAAAAGTTCCACTGTGACACAGCAGATTTTCTTTCTTTCTTTGTCCCTTTCACAGTTGAGTCTCCTGGGATACCTGAACACACATACATACACACACACACACACACACACACGTACAGAGTCATTCTTTTCCCTTTACAGCATTTCTGCCTGATGATAATAACAGCTTGCATTCACTGAGAGCCTATTTGTGCCAGGACACTGGGTGGGTACCTGTATGTTATCTTAACTGTAATCCTAAAAGATACAGATTTCGTACACACTTAATAGAAGAGCAGATGGGTTTAAAGAGTAACAGGCCTCTAGTCACGTGGTTAGGAAGGGGCAGACTCAAGAGTTCAGCTTTGCGTCTCCTTCTACAACTCTAGCTGCTCCCTCACCCTTTCTTCTTGCCCACACCACACATCTGTGTTCAAGGGAAAGGATGCTGTCTTCCTCAGCTCCAGATTTCGGACCAGTGGTCTGCTTTAACTTTGAATGTGTGGGAGAGCCTCTAGTTTAAAACATTAGGAAGTCTTCCAGAGCTGTGTATTGTCTTTTTTTGTGTGTTCTTAGAACATCTAGTCACAGTGGGTGTCCTTGTGTGGGAGTCTCCCAACAGATGTCTTTTTCCTTTATATGATAATTAAGTCAAGTGTACCCCTGTTAGCACTGGACACTTGCTGAACCGATACGCTTAGTCCTAAAGGGGCAGTAATAGTAAGGTCCTGTGTACAGGTTGACTTAAGTTGCAACATCAAGTGGCGTTGAAGAGGGTCCCTTGGAATAGCTGTTGTCTTGGCCTTTGCATTTTCTTTTCATGAGATTCAAAGTTCTTGGGCTCTAAGACTACCTGTTTCTTCTATATACAAAACCTGCCAAATCCCAGTAAAACTAAATTGACTGGGATATCTCCCTGTCACAGTGGTTCAGCAGTAACTGGAATGTCTTTATTCTGTATTCGTCAGTTATTTACTAAGCTTCAGCACTAAGCTGGACATTGTACTTGGTACTGGAAATGAAATGGTGAACACAACAGCCTTCATGGATTTCACGTTGTAGTGGGGAAGATGAAATTAAAACACACTCTTACTAGCTATAAGAAGGATTCTGGCTGGGTGAGGAGGACTGAAGTCATAATTTAGCCAGGAGGGCCTGAGGAATCTCTCTGAGCAGGTGGCTTTTGATCTAAGCTTGAAGGATGGATAAGAGGAGCTGAGCATGCTGGGGAAGAGAGTGCCAGGCAGGAACAGCCCATGCTTTGAGACAGACCAAACCTTGACTTACAGGCTGAGCAGAAAGGAGGTGGCATAGCTAGAGGGGAGGGGAGGGGAAGGGGCATCCTGAGGCTGGATGAATTGTGAGAGTGAGCCCACTGAGGGCTGGTGGGCCGGGGTGGAGCACAGTGTTTCCTCAAGCACTCTGGGAAGCCAGCCGCAGGTGTACAGTTGGGTTAGGGTTGTGTGAGGTGATGTGTGTTGCGGGGGTGTTGATTTTTTGGTTTTTGTTTTTGGTTCTGGCCGTTGCCTTTGCATACTAGGCCAGTGCTCTACTACTGAACTATACCACCAGCCCTTTTTTATTTTATTTTAAATTCTGAGGCAGGGTCTCATTTGCCCAGGCTGGCCTTGGACTTACAATCTTCCTGCTTCAGTCTCTGATTAGTGGATTTACAGGTTTATGCTACCGTGCCCGCTGTGCGCTGGTTTTAACAGGCTCTTGTTCTTGTATAGCACGGAGTCTCTGCCCAGAGGTGAAGCAGCAAAGCCAGCTAAGAGGTTGGTTTCTCATGGGATTGAGATGTTGGTGCCAGTGCCTTGATTGGAAGCAGAGCTGTGGAGTTAGAAAGCATGGACCTATTTGGAATGCAGTACTGACAAAACTTGCGCTTGGGGAAAGAGCACAGAGGAATCAAGGACGATTTAGGATTTGATCTGCTCGTAGGCCTGTGAGATCTGCTGGTGGGATGGTAAGGCTCATCCGCAACTGTTCTTTCCCTCCGTAGTTATGAAATTTTCTCATATGGAGTGGGCATATAAGGACGCCAGGCAAGGGGGACACAACAGAGAATGTTGAGAGTGAGGTGATGAATGAACAAAGCCTGCTTCACTGATAGCTTCATTAAGTGTGGTTTCAACTCCCAGGACTAAATCATCTCCCTTAGGTCCTCTACCACGGGGTGTGCACGCTTTTCAGAGCACTGGGTAGCCACTAGGGTTCTCCACCTGACCCAGAGGTGACTTCCATAATAGCACTTGAACTTTCCTCTTTTTTTTTCTTTTTTTTTGGTGAGGTGACTTTAGGCTCCTGTGTGGGAGTTTATTTGCATTTTACATCTGCTTTTCCATTTAGATCTTCGAAGTGATTTCTTCAGAAGGCTGTGGAGGAGGCTTGCCTGCACCCTGGCAGATCAGAGAGAAATGAAAAAATTGCATTGTAATTTCGCAGCAGAACGGTCATGCTGTCTGTCCCACTGAGCCCCAGACATGAAAATATCGTAGAATCGTTGCTTTTACGTTTCCTTATGGATGATTTAGGACTTGATCTGCTCATAGGCCTTATGGCCCAAGTCTTGTACCATCCATCAGCAGAGGCCACCTTACGTCACCAGAATGGGCCATTTTTCTCCACAGCTTCTTACTTCCTTGAACCTGGATTAGTTCAGGAGGGCAGACAGAGACCAGGCTGCCCAAAACCTAACCACCCAGCTTCTGTGCTTGTGGGAGAAAATGCAAGTCTATCCCTGTTGCTGTGTGATGGCCTGACTATTTTTAGATTGGGCTGCCAGAGATATAAATTGCTATTTCAGTCTGCCTCCTGGTAGTGGATAGAGAAATCTACTTACTGCATGCTCCACAGAGCACGTTGAGTTTACCCCAACCTCAGCCATTTTGGAGACTCATCTTTTCCTGTTGGCAGTCCTGCTGTGGCATGCTGTCCATAGCTTTGTTGTTATGTCTCAAAGTATTGATGTGGTAGATTGTTCAGTGCTTGGGACACTTACAAAGCATTCTTCCCGAGAGGGTAATTATTTTTCTTTTTACTAATAAGGACTGTATAGCAACACTCTTGTCCCTTAGGAAATTAGTGACATTATTTAAAAGATTATCAAGGGAGAAAAGATGATGCTTGAAATTATTTATCTGTGAACAAAAATAGCGTGGATAAATATGGAGGCTGCTAGCTGTACATTTCTCTAGACAGTTTCAAGTCATCTGTTGGCTGACAGCTCAGTAAGGAGCTGTTTTGCATACGAGTTGGTAGCCATTGGGAGTCCCAGAGAAATACCTTTACTATCTCGTTTGTCCCATAGTAGGTGTGCCACCTGAACCATATTATGCTATTTATTTTTATTTATTTGATCAAAGCATAACAGCCCCTTCTTAACAGGGAGATGATGTTGGTTAGCCTTGTGTTTATAAACCTAGCTCTGTTCAGAATGGCTCCATTGTGGTTTCAGTCAGCTTTTGGCAACATAGCTCTGGCATTTTGTCAACCTGGTACTATTTTCCATCCTATCAGTAAATAGTGTGTGCCTGACTGGTCAGTCAAGAAATAATTAGTGGTAAAAAGTCCCCCGCCCCTCCAAATTCGTTTGAGCGGAACGATAACTTAATCGTACAAAGCCTGCAGACAGTTGGCCCTCGGAGACCTGAGTACTGGCAGGACTTTTACCTGTTTGTGTCTGCATCTGCTTCTTTGCCCTTTTATTCAGACAACTGCTTTTCTTCTTCTGAGAACATTCTCCCTAATGCAGAATCCCCCAAGAAACATGATGTGGGTGTGGGCGTGCGTTCAGGGAGGCATTCTCACCCAGAACAGAAGACCGCTGACATCTCTTTCAGTCCTGTTGTATTCAAGTTTCCATTCTGTTGCTGACTATGATAAAATTAGCCTAAAGGAAGGTATGGAATATGGGCGTGGGTTTGTATATGACAGGTGTTGATACATACAGACGTTCCTTTGTGTGTGCCTATGAAACATGCAGCAGGGTACCAGGTGCTCGTCATATGTTTGATTTTTGAAGCAAACCCTTTTAATTCAGGAAGAATGAAGGTGAAAATAGACCTCTTTGCTTAGATGGCCTAGAGGTAACCAGGTATCACTGTAGCTGTCTGATGCCTGAACAGGTAATACAATATAGGGAAACTAGTTGGACAGGCCTTTGATCATGGATGTAGGTTTTTAGTGTCTGCGTATATAAAACTTTATGCATTTTGAAAGGGAACATGGCAACCTTCAAGTGCAGCATGTACCTTTGTCATTGATAATAGCTAAAGATCAGAAAAACTCCTTTTCTCTGTTAAGATTTAAGGGCTGGGATGTAGTTCAGTGGCAGAGCATGTGCCTAGCAGGTGCAAGGCCGTGGGTTCAGTCCCCAGCACTGCACACACATACAAAAAGATTTCAGATTTGGTTCTGGCTTTGTTTGTTTTTTCAGTTGCAGGAATACCAGCAAAAGAATTGGATGTGGTTTCTGTTTGCTTGTGGGCTGTGTAAGGTTATCTTTTGAGTAAATGGAAGGAATACCTCATCTAATAAAACAGGGAATTGGTTTTGCTTTGGAACCTTTGCTGTTGACCCAGTGTATAACTTTGGCTTTAGCTTTCTTCTGGTAATGAGCTATTTTCACCGGTGACCCCTTTATTTAAAAAACACCAAACAGGGGCTGGGGATTTAGCTCAGCGGCAGAAGCGCCTGCCTGGCAAGTGCAAGGTCGTGAGTTCGGTTCCTGGTACTGGAGAAAAACCAAAAAAATAAATAAATAAATAAAAAACATCAAACAACCGTGGCAGGCTTCCCCATTGCTGTTCCCAGGCTTTGAGCTTTTCTCACATGATGATTTTTTGTTTCTGCAGTTTCATGAACCATCGGGCCCCAGCCAATGGCCGTTACAAACCAACTTGCTATGAACATGCTGCTAACTGTTACACACATGCAGTGAGTATGAGTTTTCTGCTGCCGCTGTTCTTTCCGCAGGGATTCAGAGGGAGGAAGGGGTTATTTATCTCCAGGGACCTCAGCATGCTTAGTTGGATTTACCATCTCTGTGACTTTAACCTCCAGACCCCTGTGATGGTCTTGGGACTACAAACTGAGCATGTGGAATGCTGTGTATTCTGACCTGCCCGGCTTTGTCCTGGGCTTGCCTTCCACAACCGCCTCTTCTTTAAAAGAATAACAATACCTGTGTACCCTAAGACAATGAGAGAAACTTGTTATGAAGATCGTTACCCCTCAAAGGAAATAACCACCGTGCTCATTTGGCAGGAAGAGTTCACAGTTTGTTGAAAAAGATGTTTTTTACTAGGTGAACTTCTGAAACAGGAAGCCACATCCTCCCACCCCAACAGGAGCCTTGCTTCTCAGAACATACGTTGTTACAGGTTACTGAATAAAACACCGATGTGGTCCCTAGCTCTTGATTAGTTTTTCCTTATAAAAGCAAAGCAGGCTTATTTTAAGAAACTTTAAAAATACTGGGTAGTATGTAAGCCAATAAAACGACCCAGAAACAAACTGGTCATACTTTGGTACATTTCTTCCTTTTATATATGTGTTATTTGTGTATGTATTATTTGTGGGGTTCCTATTAATGTGACATAATTGGCATTTCTTATGTCATCATAAATTCCTTTGGTTTTATTATTCCCTTTGAAAGTTGCATTATGTGAGACTTTCGAGGAGAAAATGGTGGTTGGGATATAGTCTGAAAACAGCAGAGAAGACAATTTATTCCTTTAGTGGAAAGTGTTTAGAAGAAGCCAGTTTGATTACCACAGACAGTGTTGTTCGTATAGTTTAGTGGTTTGGATATTGAGATATGCAGCTTACCTTTAGGAATAATATTTGTTTAGGATGGACCTGAACAATCCCGATATTTTCACAAGTTAAGGAACACTTTTATAAACTGAAATTCAGGAAAAACTGATCATTAATTTTTTTAGAACAGAAAATATAGTCTTACTAAGCTATATCCCAGATGTTTGGATTTTAGACACCAAATCTTGTTAGTCATTATTTTGTTTAAAAGAAGATACTTTAACATAGAAAAGGACATAATTTCAAAACATTTCCTTAAAGCAAACAAGTTTTGTTTTATAAGAAACATACATTGTTATCCTTACTGTTTTCATTTTGTTCTGGGCCAGTGAAAACTTTGGCATCAAGAAATCAGTCCCCAGGGGGATTTGATATTCCAGGCAAGAGGGTAAAAGAGATGTGTGGGAACCAAAAAAGAAAGAAATGATGCTGAAATTTTCCCTCTTTGCCAGGCATATGTATTTTAATATCTAATAAGGTAGTCTACCTCTCCTGGAGAATCTCTGTATTATAAAACATTTACTGGTCATATGGCTAGTCGTTGACTTTTTCTCCATATGTACTCTTACATGTAGCACAGATAGCAAAATTTTTCTTAGACTTCTGGTATCTGAATAGGTAGGCCTTGAGGATGGGTTACTCTTGCTCACCTAAAAGTTACTATGAAGATTTAAATAATCCCCAAATGGTTTCACTCTCAAAGTAGCTCCCAAATTGATAGAATGAAGAGATCCATACTAAAACTCAGGGCATGTCTTAGATAACTGTGTGTGTGTGTGTGTGTGTGTGTGTGCTGGGAGGGGTGTCGTATACATTTCATTACTCCTTGATAAGATTTATTCATTCATTCTTCCTGAAAGAGTGGAATTTCAGTAGCCGATGGGGGCAACAGGACAGAATATTTTAAAATGAGCATCTCACTGGGAAATCTGAATATATGCTTGATATGTGATTATTTGAAATAACCTACTCTGAATCAGATTAGAAAGGAGAGTGAAACGTGCCCTTCTTGAGGGAAATTAGGATAAAGAACATCTGTTTTGCAACAGTTGAGTAATGTTGCGTCTCTGCCTTGTTTGTGTATCCATTGGCGGGCGCTGCATGGGCCCTGAGCAGCAGTAGCCGCTTCCAGTACAGCAGCTAACAGCTTCATCTGGCTGTCCTCGTGACTGTTCAAGAAAGGCGATTGCTTTAAAATTATTTTGTTCATATTGTTCCTGATAAGCCTCTATCTAGTTAGAAAAAAATTCTCTTTTCCTTAAAAACCAGGACATTTGTTTCTCTGTACCTTTCCCTCAGTTCCTCATTGTTCCGGCCATCGTGGGCAGTGCCCTGCTCCATCGGCTGTCCGATGACTGCTGGGAAAAGATAACAGCATGGATTTATGGAATGGGTCTGTGTGCCCTCTTCATCGTTTCCACAGTGTTTCACATCGTGTCATGGAAAAAGAGCCACTTAAGGTACAGTGGACGACGTGCTGTTTCCACAGATCAAAATAGTTGCCTCAGTGTTAATCCCCTACACTGGTATATTTTAGGCAGGTGGAGCAGAAAATGGACCTTTTCGTGCCTTGTAGTTTTAGTGCTGTCCAATAGCTGGGGACATTTTCTTTGGGTTGGACAGAGTCTGAAGACTCTCTTAGCATATGCCTCTCGGAAGGCAAGCCTCTCTAGCCAGAAGCCAGTACCTCAGTGATTTCCCAGAACTTAAAATTTGAAATCTTTTTTTTTTTTTTTGGTTTTCTCCAGTACCAGGAACCGAACCCACGACCTTGCGCTTGCCAGGCAGGCGCTTTGCCGCTGAGCTAAATCCCCAGCCCCTAAAACTTGAAATCTTGAGAGCTGTTTTCCAGTTCTCTTAAGTGAGCTGGAGTTGTAGCTCAGGGGGAGAGTGCTTGCCTAGCATGCACAAGGCCCTGAGTTCAATCCCCAGTACCACCAAAAAAGAAACAAAACCATAAACCATTTCTCTCAGTTGTACTAAGGATAAGAGAGCGGTAGCTATGGATTAGTGGCAAAGTACACTGAGCTTGGAGTCAGCAGATGGCCTTTGAGGCTTGGTCCTGCTACTTAACTTTGGGTAAGTCACTTGGCAACCAGGAGCCTCAGTTTCTTTATTACTAAAATGAGAGCCGGGTGTGGTGGCACACGCCTATAATCCCAGCACTTGGGAGGCTGAGGCAGGAGAATCATTGTGTGTTGGAGACCAGCCTAGGCTACATAAGTGAGCTCTAGGCCAGTCTGAACTGCATAGCAAGACCCAGTCTCAAAAAGACAAAACAAAGCAGGGCATGGTGGTGCACACCTTTTTGGTTTTTTTTCTCCGGTACCGGGAACCGAACTCATGACCTTGCGCTTGCCAGGCAGACGCTTTGCCGCTGAGCTAAATCCCCAGCCCCGGTGGTGCACACCTTTAATCCCAGCACTTGAGAGGGTGAGCCAGGAGGATCACTGCGAATTTGAGACCAGCCCAGGCTACATAAATGAGCCCAAGGCCAGCCTGAACTTCATAGTGAAACACTGTCTCAAAAAAAGACAAAAGAAGCGAAAAGACAAAAATAAAATAAAATGAGGATTATAATGTAACTCACAGAGTTATCGTGATAGGCAAATAAGATAATGTATGTGAAAGTGATCCGAAAATTATAGAAGGCTGTGGGATTATGGGATGTGAGGAAGTGAACTACTGTTTCTACTGTCTGTGAAGCTGAACTTTCAGGTTGAAGTTCTCTGTCTGTTATGGAAACAGATTAATATTATTTTGCAATTACTGATTGTCAGGCACTTTCCAAACAATGCCTTGGCCTTTGGCTTACCACCGAGAAGGACATAAAGCATTCCTCCTCTGAGTGCAGGATCCATTTGGGAGAGTACAGAGGAAGCTCCACACCATTTTGGTCAGAATGGGTTGCTCATGAAATACATTCTGCAGTAATTAAATATATTAAAGGGTGAAAATTCTTCTCAAAAAAGGGTGAAAGTTCTCAAAAAAAGGAGAATGCAGCGCCAACTAAGAGTGACTTATAAAGTAATTTTTGAAAATTTGTAGAATGTCCAAAAATAATGAGACAGGCTCATTTTTACAAGATATGCTTAATTCACAAGCAGGACGTGGGACTTAGGAGATGGGTACTGGTTTCATCATGGTAGAATCATGGTGTTGCAGGCCTGGGCAGAGAGTGTGTGATCGAAGAGATCACATAATCCAAACTTCGGCTTTTAGTTGGGGAAACTGAGGCTCAGACAAATGGCCTGGCTTGCCTGAGTCAGTGAGACGAGTAGTAATGGGTCTTCCAAGACGTCTGGCTCCTAGCCCTTTGTTTTCTTTCTACCATATCTTTCACAATACTGTATATAATTTACAGTCCGTTCCCCTTTCCTACAAAGTGACAGTTCCCTGGGCTTAAAATAAAACCACAGTGCTGAATCACAAGGGCACTTTGGGACACACTCACAAGAGAACCGCGGGAGTACCTGGCTCCTCGAGGCGTGCTGTCACGGAGGCCAGAGGCCAGCCAGCAAGCAGAGCACTTCATTATCTTCTTGGCACAGTGTGACGCTGTGGTTGCCTCAGCAGACTTGGCTTTGATGTCTAGATTTCTGAATCAATAAAGAGTTGTAGATGCCTCCTTCAGGATTCAGGGCCTCCCTGCCAGGGACTGGAGAAGGTGTAATAGACACCAGACTCCGAACCTTGAAATAGCACTTCTAGAATCATAAGCCACATGTAGATTTGTGCTGTGCATTAAGCTTTTTAAGTTTTCAAATAAACCTCAATTTAAGTACATAAAAGGAAATGGCATTTATTAAGTGGCAGATACTATGCTGAATACATAGTCCACATTATCACATTTAATGTTCTGCAGGCTCTAGAGAAAGATTTCCATTTTACTTATAAAGAAAATAAGACTCAGACAGGTGTACGGCAGATCTTCAACAAAATTCTGGGTCTGACTTTGGCTCTGGCAGTGTCTAATAATTGAGAAAGTAGAACTAGAACAGCCCCAAACCTTACTTGAAATCACATTCATTCCAGGAGTTTAAAAAAGAACAACTTATCTTCTTTCCTCTACTTTCTGTCCCATCTTTGGTCCCTTGTAGTAGAATCTTCTTGACTGGAGTCCATGGCTACATTTCATAATGATGATTGTAATATGTAGTCATTTGAGAAGCACTGATATATTGTTTGCTTCTTTAGACCTATGACCTGAATTATTATCTAGGGGTAAGTTGTAGCTTCTGCATTAAGATAATTTTTTTCTTGTAAGTGTATTTTTTACTTCTTTAGTAACACAAATCCTCATCTGTGCTTTGGAAAACACTCTGGGCGTGTGTGTGGTGAGGTAAAGCCTAAGAACCGCCGCTCCATCAAACCATAGCTGTGATGCCTTGGGCAGTGAACATAGATGCAAGACAGTGCTATGCATTTGTACTTTCTAATCCACAATCACACAACTTGTAATTTTTCTACCCACACTTCCTGACTTTGATTTTGGGAGGCGGGAGTTGTACCTTCTTGCAGCAAATGCATCTTTCTGTTTATTTTGCTATTCCTGAATGACGGAATTTCTTTTATTACAGCTTACTGTCTGCACTAGAATATTTAAAGTAAAAGGGTCTTTAAAGATATTCTGAAAAGACTTGAAGAACGTGACCTCGTTTACGGGTTGTTTACTGAGCATCAGGACTTCATGTCCTGCACTGTGATAGAACCTGGGGGATGACCTCCCCTCAAGGAATTTCGTCCTTCTGTTAGGTAGGCTGTAAAAGAAATGGAAAATACCAGAAAAGACAGATTGTGTTTGCTTTAACTACCTTAGGCTTCCTAACTATGAGAATATCTGTTGTGTGTATAACTTAAAAAATAAAGCATTTACTTGTGGCTTCACATCATTAAAAACAAGCAAACAGTGTGGCTTTGGAGGGCAAGTTATAAACGCAGTGAGAAACTAGACAGGAATGGAAATTGCACCCTTGTGTTCTGGTCTGAAAACTTTTTAAATAATTTATCTAACTTGTTTTCTTCCCCCCTCCCCAGGACAGTGGAACATTGTTTTCACATGTGTGATAGGATGGTGATCTATTTTTTCATTGCTGCTTCTTACGCTCCATGGTAAGATAAAGCTGTTTCTGCTCTTGAACAGTGTGTTTTTATTATAAGTCCTTATTCCTTGTTCTTCTCCCCTCCCCGCTCTCCTGTCCCTGCCCGCAGCCCTCATGCATACAGCCACCCCTTCTCCCAAACACATGCATGCATGCATTTCTCCCCCCAGTGTGTTTACTTGGGTCAGATTGTAGATCTGAAAGGAGAAACAGTGTTTGGATTAAATATCTGGGCATTGCACTAAGAGGAAATGCTGTTAACTTGGGTTCAGGTAACATGATGCGTAACCTTTGCCCCTCCAACCTCCAATTCTCTTTCTCTATACATCTGCTTTTCAGAATGTGTAGAAATTGGGGAAATGCTGTCAGTGTATACAGTGTTAGGAAAGTAAGCTTCTGTTGGAAATTTGTACCGTTTGTCTTCTCTCTTTACAGCACAGTAGCTATTATACACTGGCACATTTCTATTTTATTTTGCTGTCGGAGTTAAGAAAACCAACCAAATCCGTTAACCTAGCACTCTGCTCAGTTTCCTTGGTCTTGCTGCCCTTTGGGGATAATTTGAATTTCATTAGAATATAATCTTTTGTTAAATTAAAACCTATAGTTAAAGAAACATTAGTTTTCCTCTATCAAGATGTGGTCCAGTGTCAAACACTCAGAAGTTTGTATTATGCCATCACCTGTCGTAGTCGTTGAAAATAGCAGGCATCTAGATCTGGGTAAGGCAGCCTTATTCAAAAGAAACATAATTATCCGTTAGAATAAAAAATAAGCTAGCTCTCCTCAATACGTCTTACTAAATTATAGGTCTGATTCATATCGGAGCAAAAATGCTTAAAGGCTTTTGTGAAGTATACTTCAATTTAAAATAAGCAAATAAGTTATAAAAATATTTAAATTGGGCTGAGGAATCAAATATCAAAGTAGGCAGTTTGTTCACATATAGCATTAGACATGCAAGTAGCACCTTTTGCATTTGGGAATATTAATTGGTAGTGACAGCCAGGCAGAACATTTGGGAGTTTTCCTCTGTGTTTATTTGTATTATGACATGAGTATAAGTGAATTTGCAGCGTTTTAAAATTTAGACCTTAAAAAAAATCTACATTTGAATTCTAACAAAATATCTTCACACAAGTTGGGATAATTTTCATGCTCTGTCTTGGCAGAGAGATTGGTAGTGGAAGCGTGGTCTGTGGACTAGGTATCTGCTATAGGTGCGTGATCCTGGCTCAGGATATTTTTCAGAGTTCTCATTAAGCTGTGTAAGCAGTCTGCTCCCAAGTACATGGTCGGAAATAAAAAGGCAGGCAGCTTTTACCTCTCTCTGCCTTGCCAGGGAAAGTTGGGCGTGACAGGTGTGCTGGGACTCACTTCTACATGTGTCTTTGCTGGTTCTATTTTTAAACCATGCTGAAACTATTTCTAAGTCATAAAGGTTGACTGACAATTTTATCTTCGAGTTATTCGTTTTACCTAAATTTCTATCTGTGTATTGAGTGCCTTTTCTTTCTGCTTTTATTCTAGCATTTTCTTAGTTTTCAGGGATCAGAGGAAAACACAACTCCTGTGAACTCTCTTCATTTATCCCTTCTGTTCTTTGTTGTCATGTTTTCATTTGCAGGTTAAATCTCCGAGAACTTGGACCACTGGCAGCTCATATGCGTTGGTTTATCTGGCTCATGGCAGCTGGAGGAACCATTTATGTATTTCTCTACCATGAAAAGTAAGGAAAAAAAATTTACATTTGGTAGTTCTAAAATTCATTGCCTAAATTTATCTGTTTCACAATCTAATTTCTTTCGTGTTTTTTCTTCAAAATAGTAGAAATACATAAACAGAATAAATACTCCTTTGAAAAATCTTTGAAACTACTCAGTACTTGCTGTTGGTGGACAGATTGCTTCGGGACAGCATGAGAGGCGCATATGCGGTATAATGTGGATGAGAGATAGGGTAGCTAGTCATTGTGAGTCAGTAGGACCTTGTGTGTCATCCTGAGACAAACTAGCCTTGTCCTCTGAGATTTAGTCATCGCATGGTAAAAGTAACTTTTTCAGTATTTCTGTGAAGATTGAAGCTAGATATTAAGTGCCTGGTGTATTTACCTAGTTAAGAAACTAGAGAGTATTCCAAATAGGTTGTGGTGAAGGGCTACATGAAAGGATGTCTAAACCCTTAATATTTTAGCTCTGGAGCACAGTTCTTTACCCTTTATTCATAGGTCGTTTTCATGTTTGGTAATTTTATGTAAAGGCTTATTGAAATGCATCATTTTGGCTCTAGAGAACCTTCAAGGTCAGTTCCAGAACACTCAGGTTGTGCATCAGATAAATGACTGATCTGGAAAGTAGGGTCGCAGTGTGCTGCTTGCCATTCTGTAGCTTTTTATTCTCATGTGCTTGAATCCGAGAAACTCACAACCATGAAATGGTTGTCTTTAGATTTATTAAAGTACTGTTCATTAAATTCTTTATTATGTTTGGCAGAGGGACTTTCAAAATGGAACATAATTTGTTTGGTTAGTGTATTGTTTTCTTCTTTCAGAAGAAAATGGTAGTTTTCACTAGCTCTGACTTTGAAACTCACTTAAACCCCTTTTGATCGTAATTGGCAACGCTGCGTGGTTATGCGGTATATATAAACTCAAGCACACAGTTTGCTTCTTGCACTCAAACCCCTAAATTATACCCTTGGATAAAAATAGGAAGTAAAGTAAGGCAGCTATTTCCCCTATTCCAAGCCTTCTCCTCCTGATGTTACTGCTTGGTAGGCCTTGGCTACGAAAACACCGAGAATGAAGTGTAAGTCACCGCTGGCCATTTAGTGTGGCAGAAACGAGGAAGTGCCAATTCTGTCAGGCACTACTGTAGGCTCTGCAGATCCAAATGTAAGAAAAACTTGGTCCCTGCTTTTGAGGCTTATTAGTGTAGATGGTTTGGGCAAAACTGTACGTTGAATTTTAACAGTGTGTTTCTTAGAGTTTTCATGTACTTCACCTATTTCATCATGTGATGATTCTTGGAATTGTAGTTTGTACAAATGCAAAATGAAGAGACAAAGCTCTTTCCTTAGGACTGCTGTTCTTTACCCCTGATCAGATGAGGCCCCAAGTTGCACTTATATCTGTCTTCAGTTTCACTTTATTATAGCTCTGGATTGAAATGACAGTAAAGGGGAACAAAGGGAAAGACATGGGAGGGATTTCACTCAATTTAACTACAGTACTTCTGGCAGAAAACATTTTCTAGGTAGCATGTGGAGTTTCATGCCTTTTCAGGCCTAGAAGAAATGCTAGCTCATCCTTTCACAATCATGGTATGTTAGGTAAAGAGGCCTAGTGGCCTCATAATAAGAAATGCATTTCATTTGAGTAGTTATAAGTTTTTATTTCTCTTTCAAAATAAAAAAGGAAAAGCTGGCATGTAAATGACCTAAGTATTAAACACATAAACTAAAGTAACCATCCTGTTCTTTCAGGTATAAAGTGGTTGAGCTCTTTTTCTATCTCACAATGGGATTTTCTCCAGCCTTGGTGGTGACATCAATGGTAAGAAGTAAATTTATAATTGTAGTCATTTTCTTTGTATTAGTGGGATTCATACATGACTGTACCTTTTTGAAGTTGGGACATGTCCATTAGCTAGCTAGAGACTAAAAGAAAAAAGCACAAATAACACAGTGTGCCAGCAACTTGCATTGGGTGCTGAGATTGGAGAAACTGTACATCTAGGTATATTTCTTCCCTTTTTATATTCTTCAGTATTTATTTACTTAAGATAATCTATTTTTCACCCTACCACATTTTCTCAACCCTTCTCCCAAAGAGGCATGTTATTATATGAAGGTAGATATTTCTGCTTGAACTACTTGGCTTCTTAACACTAACTCTCTGGAAGAGGGTAAATTTGGAGGTATCTTAAAATGAAAACAATACAGATTAACAACTTGTAGAGTCTCAACAGTTAGAAGGACCTTCAAAGGCATCTGCTTCAGCATTCTACTGGATTATCTTTCAGATCTCTTTCCTGTTATTTTTGTCTTTCACTTGATTTTAAGTCATATTTCTCTACCCAAAGAAAGTTTTTTTTTTTTTTTTTTACACTTTAGTTACTTTTTGAGAACTTTGATATGTAGCAGTGTTACAGTACCTTTAGTAGGCAGTTGCATTATGTATTTTAAATTCCTTTTCACATTGAATTTCTGTTTAGAAATCTATGTGTATCTGTCACTTTGAAAGAAATATGTATCGCTTCAATCTCCATCCATCTGGGTACTTGTTCCTTTATGTACGCCATTGTCTTATGCTCTGTTTTCTTTGCCATTAACTAGTATGATAACCAAAGAGGTTTCCATGTGTTTAGTTTGAACCCCTCTTTCCTCCTGCAATGGTCAGGAGAACTGTACCTGTGATTTTGCTCCTGAACTCATAGAAGCAACATAAGGACATAATTCTACTATATATATAGCACTTGCCTTGGTCACAAGTATACCTGTAGGAGTTAAAACCTGATTCTGTTTTATTTTTTTTTTTTTAATTTTTGCAGGGAATATGCCTTATGAATATGTAACAAAATGTGTTTCTTTTGAGATGCAGGGCTTATAAAAGCTTTAGTAATTACTTAGTACCAAAAGTACATGTGGGTTGGTTAGTAGAGGTAGCAGAGAATGCTGAGGAGAGAGGCAAATGAAAAATAAGGAAATGTCCATGATGGCCATATAATCAGAGAGTAATTCAGGACACCCAGAGCAATAAAGCAAAGTCTATGTAGATCAGTTACTAGTTATTAGAATAAAATTTCAAGTAAATTCCCTTTGGGTATTATAAGAGCAGGTTTGTCTAGTATTTGTAGTGTCCCAAATCTTTAATTGGCATTTTCATAAGTGGTATAATAGTAGGTGACTCATGTTTATGATAACCTGACAGGATAAACCCCACACTGCCTTCATATAGTTTAGAATTCAGCAGGCAAATACAATTCATACTCAATAAGAGGCTGTAATAAAATTCTGTAATGTCTTTGGGGAAAGTTCAGGCTGCTGTGGGAACACAAAACAGCAGTGCCGGTGCTGATGTGGAGAGGTGGGCAGAGGTGAGAGGTGGTCAGAGTGAAGCGAGTGCTCTAGGTAGAGAATATAACATGAGAGAAGGCTGAACCGGGGGAATCCTCCAGCATCTTTGATGAACTGAAAATAGTTCTGTGTCTGCAACATGGAGTGTGCAAGAGATGATCACAATGTACAGTCAATCAGTGTTTAAATTGCAAGTGTATTACAAATACACAGTGCGTGTTTAATTTTCTAAAATTTATTACAGTAGCGACATTTTGCCTTTACTGTCCCCCAGATAGTCCCTCTCATTTCACTTATCCCCTTCCTCTTGCGCTTTCTGACGCAGTTCTAGAAGGCTTTAATGACTGTGTTTATGAGGAATGACAAAAAATACGGTGACTGCTGCTACTGAGTGCCATCCAGTGGAGAGACAGGCTTGTAAAAACGTGACACTGTCCTTGTTCACCTTATTCACTGGGCCTGGCACCATGTGTCTTGTGGATCTTTCAGAGTCAGAATGCCCATGAAAGGTAAACGTCTTAAAAGGGTCATTGGAGAGCCAGACAGCACAACCGAAGACACTCATGAAAAAGGACTTCCAGAACTGCTTCAGAAAGTGACAAGGGAGGGCATAAGTGTGTTAAAGTGAGAGGGGACCATTTTGAAGGGAATTAATGGCAATGTGTCTTTTACAGTAGTAATTTTTTTAAAAAACGAAGCATTCGCTATAATGTTTGATGGCGTCGGGTATATTCCTGTTTGATATGTGCTCATGCATGGTGGGTAGGGCGCAGGTGGCGTAAATCTTGTAGAAAAGCTGGGGAGCTAGACAGAGTCCCAGTCACAAAAGAACACATAAGCCACCTGAACCGACAGCATGCCAGTGTCAATGAAGGCCCAGAACTCTGGCTCTCGTCAGAATCATGGCCATTGGACTTTAACCCACATGCCGCAAAGAACTATAAAACTGGAGAAAGAGTCAAGGTAACTGTTTTTTAGGCATTGGACATAGACGCCGACAGTCTAGGGCTATGATCTTGAGGGAAGAGTAACCAAAAAATAAACTTCAAATTCTCCGTGTTGTTTCCCTGGACACTTCCCAAATAGCAACAAAAGGAAGTGGAGCCAGAAAGTGGAAGAAGAAACAGAAATTGGCCTTTCTGACTGTGAGACAGCTGCATGGGGAGTGGGAGAGAAGCGAGCTACTGAGGGAAGCAGCTCCAGAAATGTATAGGAGTTCTCTTGACCGGAATTAAGGTGCATTTGTGCAGAGCAAGACTCTGCAAGCTCTGGTTGAGAGTAACTATTTGAAGGTCATGCCAGAAAGTGCTTAATGCAGGGAAGCATTGGCATTTCAACCAGCCATGCTGGACATTGCAAGCATTCAGGTGACCATACCAAAACCACACCTTAGGAGCAGTGCTACTGTAGCTCTAGACTGTCAAAACTGTGCCCCATACCAACCTCAGAATGGTCGGATTGCTCCTTCAGTAAGCTGCCTGCCAGAACAAAACCATCCACAGAGGAAGACCACAAAATCTACACTCTGCAGACTTGATACCTACCATCTCAAACAGACACTAGGAGATAGGCAGGACACAGGAAAATGACACATACCTAAGGAAAGAAAGGTCAAGAGGAGCAGACCCAGACATGACACTTTGAAATTTGTATGCAAGCATGTTACAACATAATGAGTAAACAAGTGAGGGATCTCAGGAAATGAGTGGAGACTACAGAAAGCAAACCAAATAGAAACTCAAAATCTAAGAACTGTACTTTCTTGAGGAGAAAATATGTACAACAGATTGGTTACTGTAGCAGAAAAGGTGCATGAACTTGAAGCCAAGTCCATAAAAACTACACAAACTGAAACACAACCGAAACAAGAGTAGTTAAAAAATGGATAGCACCTTAGTAATCTGTTGGACCATATCAAGTGGTCTAATGAAGTATAAGTGGACTACTGATTGAAACTTCCAGAAGTGGTGAAAAATGTCAAGCCACAGATCCACAAAGCACGATGAAGCTAGAGCAGGATAAATGTAAAAAGAATACTGGAGCATTCCTGCTGAAATTACTGAAAAATAATGAAGAAAAAAATAATCTCAAAATCAACTGGAGGGAAAGAGCAAGGAGAGAAGAGCGACCACTGGCTTCTCATCAGATTTGGGGATCAAGAACACAGTGTAGAGGCACGCTTAAAACAATGAAAGGGAAAACCCTATAACTGCAGCTAAAATTTATAACAGTACTGCTAAAAATAAATCAGAAGTGTGGAAAATGATTCATTTGTGAGTGAATACAAAAGACTTCCTCATTTTTTTAATTTCTTCAAAAGGTAAGTCGAGTTATAACATATAGAAGCCCAGTATGTGACAACAAAGGATGGAAGTGGAGAAAATGAAGTGTACTATTGTAAGGGCCTCATCCTTGTGTGGGACGAGGCATAATAATAAAGATGTAGAAGAGCTGACATTTAAATTTTTAAAAAATATTATAGTAAAAGACACATTGCCATTAGTCAAACTCAGTCTATTCCCCCTCCGTTCAAAACACACTCTTCCCATCATTCTTGCCAATTTGTTTTGTTTTTGAGAGAAGGTCTTGTTGTGTAGCCCAGGCTGGGCTCAACTGATGGCAGTCCTCCTGCCTCAGCCTCCCAGTTTCTGGGATTACAGGTATGTACCACCACACTGGGCTCTTGCCACTTTCTGGAGCACCCCTGCATATCCTCTTTAATAACTGTCTTTATGCGCTATGATCAAAAAATACAGTAAATGCTGCTATTGAGTACAATCCAATGGAAAGGAAGGCTCATAAAAACATTACAATGTGTTCTCGTCCACCTTATTTGCCAAACCTGGCATTGTGCAAGTGCTGGCTCTTCCTCAACATCAAAACGACTATGAAATGTAAACATTTTGAGTTGGTTCTGGACACAGAGACAGTCATGACAGCTCAACTAAAGATGCTCACAAAGGAGGGCTTCTAAAACTGCTTCTAGAAAGTGGCAAGAATAAAGTGTTCTGAGGGGGATTAATGGAAATATGTCTTTTTATTGTATTAAGATTTAAACACATCTTATTTGGCACATTTCATATTGTGATAAGGATGTACTTTGTCACCCATAGAATAACTGTCAACAAAAAAAACATAGCAGAAAGGTAAATAGTATGGCTAAATGGCCAAGAAAGATAAAATAGAATATTCAATTTAATTTAAGAAATCAGGATAAGAGTAACATGGTAATAAAGCATAGATGAAATGAAAAGAAAAATGAATTGTAAGATGAGGGTCATAAAAGAAACTGTGTTAATAATTATCTGTATTATACAATATAGAATAATAGTTATGAAAATGAACTGAACATTCCAATTAAAAAGCAATGATTTTTAGACTGGGTTTTAAAATGTAAGACTCTGCTATATGTGTTCATGTGAACACACTTTAAATATAGAAAAGCAGATCAAAGGATGGAGAAGAAAACACTGTAAA